AGGAGACGCATTTGATAGGAAAAGACATACATAGGCTGAAGGTGAAAGGTTGGGCAAAATCATATCACTCATATGGACTTCGGAAACAAGCAGGCGTGTCCATACTCATATCAAATAAAATAGATTTCAAGCCAAAGTTAATCAAAAGAGATAAAGAGGGACACTACATACTGCTTAAGGGAACCATACACCAACAAGACATAACAATCATAAATATTTATGCCCCAAACAATGGTGCAGCTATGTTCGTCAAACAAACTCTTCTCAAGTTCAAGAGTCTAATAGACCACCACACCATAATCATGGGAGACTTCAACACACCTCTCTCGCCACTGGACAGATCTTCCAAACAAAAGTTGAATAAGGAAACTATAGAACTCAATAACACTATTAATAACCTAGACCTAATTGACATATATAGAGTATACCACCCAACATCAAGCAGTTACACTTTTTTCTCAGCAGCACATGGATCCTTCTCAAAAATAGATCATATATTATGTCACAGGGCAACTCTTAGACAATATAAAGGAGTAGAGATAATACCATGCATCTTATCTGATCATAATGGAATGAAACTGAAAATCAATGATAAAAGAAGGAAGGAAAAAGCATACATCACTTGGAGAATGAACAATAGGTTACTGAATGATCAATGGGTTATAGAAGACATCAAGAAGGAAATTAAAAAATTCTTAGAGATAAATGAAAACACAGACACAACATATCGGAATCTATGGGACACATTGAAAGCAGTTCTAAGAGGAAAATTCATTGCTTGGAGTTCATTCCTTAAAAAAAGAAAAAACCAACAAATAAATGATCTCATACTTCATCTCAAAATCCTTGAAAAAGAAGAGCAAAACAACAGCAAAAGAAGTAGAAGGCAAGAAATAATTAAAATCAGAGCTGAAATTAATGAAATCGAAACAAAAGAAACAATTGAAAAAATTGACAAAACTAAAAGTTGGTTCTTTGAAAAAATAAACAAAATCGACAGACCCTTAGCGATGCTAGCGAAGAGAAGAAGAGAGAGAACTCAAATTACTAGCATACGGGATGAAAAAGGCAATATCACAACAGACACTTCAGAAATACAGAAGATAATCAAAAACTATTTTGAATCCTTATACTCCAATAAATTAGAAGATAGTGAAGGCATAGATAAATTTCTTAAGTCATATGATCTGCCCAGATTGAGTCAGGAGGATATAGAAAACCTAAACAGACCAATATCAATTGAGGAAATAGAAGAAACCATAAAAAGACTACCAACTAAGAAAAGCCCAGGTCCAGATGGGTATACAGAAGAATTTTACAAAACCTTTAAAGAAGAACTAATACCAATACTTTTCAAGCTACTTCAGGAAATAGAAAAGGAGGGAGAACTTCCAAATTCATTCTATGAGGCCAACATCACCCTGATACCTAAACCAGACAAAGACACTTCAAAGAAAGAAAACTACAGACCAATATCTCTAATGAACCTAGATGCAAAAATCCTCAATAAAATTCTGGCCACTCGGATACAAAAACATATCAAAAAAATTGTACACCATGATCAAGTAGGATTCATCCCTGGGATGCAAGGCTGGTTCAATATACGGAAATCAATAAATGTTATTCACCACATCAATAGACTTAAAAATAAGAACCATATGATCATCTCGATAGATGCGGAAAAAGCATTCGACAAAGTACAGCATCCCTTTATGTTCAAAACTCTAGAAAAACTAGGGATAACAGGAACATACCTCAATATTGTAAAAGCAATCTATGCTAAGCCTCAGGCTAGCATCATTCTGAATGGAGAAAAACTGAAGGCATTCCCTCTAAAATCTGGAACAAGACAGGGATGCCCTCTCTCTCCACTCCTCTTCAACATAGTTCTCGAAACACTGGCCAGAGCAATTAGACAGACGAAAGAAATTAAAGGCATAAAAATAGGAAAAGAAGAACTTAAATTATCACTATTTGCAGATGATATGATTCTATACCTAGCAGACCCAAAAGGCTCTACAAAGAAACTATTAGAGCTAATAAATGAATTCAGCAAAGTGGCAGGATATAAAATCAACACGCATAAATCAAAGGCATTCCTGTATATCAGCGACAAATCCTCTGAAATGGAAATGAGGACAACCACTCCATTCACAATATCTTCAAAAAAAATAAAATACTTGGGAATCAACCTAACAAAAGAGGTGAAAGACTTATACAATGAAAACTACAGAACCCTAAAGAGAGAAATAGAAGAAGATCTTAGAAGATGGAAAACTATACCCTGTTCATGGATAGGCAGAACTAACATCATCAAAATGGCGATATTACCAAAAGTTCTCTATAGGTTTAATGCAATGCCAATCAAAATCCCAACGGCATTTCTTGTAGAAATAGAGAAAGCAATCATGAAATTCATATGGAAAAATAAAAGACCCAGAATAGCAAAAACAATGCTAAGCAAGAAGTGTGAATCAGGCGGTATAGCGATACCAGACTTCAAACTATACTACAGAGCAATAGTAACAAAAACAGCATGGTACTGGTACCAAAACAGGCGGGTGGACCAATGGTACAGAATAGAGGACACAGAAACCAATCCACAAAACTACAACTATCTTATATTTGATAAAGGGGCTAAAAGCATGCAATGGAGGAAGGATAGCATCTTCAACAAATGGTGCTGGGAAAACTGGAAATCCATATGCAACAAAATGAAACTGAATCCCTTTCTCTCGCCATGCACAAAAGTGAATTCAAAATGGATCAAGAAGCTTGATATCAAATCAGAGACGCGCTGTCTGATAGAAGAAAAAGTTGGCTACGATCTACAGTCGGTGGGGTCGGGCTCCAAATTCCTCAATAGGACACCCATAGCACAAAAGTTAATAACTAGAATCAACAAATGGGACTTACTCAAACTAAAAAGTTTTTTCTCAGCAAAAGAAACAATAAGAGAGGTAAATAGGGAGCCTACACCCTGGGAACAAATCTTTACTCCTCACACTTCAGATAGAGCCCTAATATCCAGAGTATACAAAGAACTCAAAAAATTAGACAATAAGAGAACAAACAACCCAATCAACAAATGGACCAAGGACCTGAACAGACACTTCTCAGAGGAGGACATACAGTCAATCAACAAGTACATGAAAAAATGCTCAACATCTCTAGCAGTCAGAGAAATGCAAATCAAAACCACCCTAAGATACCATCTCACTCCAGTAAGATTGGCAGCCATTATGAAGTCAAACAACAACAAGTGCTGGCGAGGATGTGGGGAAAAGGGTACACTTGTACATTGCTGGTGGGACTGCAGATTGGTGCAGCCAATTTGGAAAGCAGTATGGAGATTTCTTGTAAAGCTGGGAATGGAGCCACCATTTGACCCAGCTATTCCCCTTCTTGGTCTATTCCCTAAAGACCTAAAAAGAGCATGCTACAGGGACACTGCTACATCGATGTTCATAGCAGCACAGTTCACAATAGCAAGACTGTGGAACCAACCTAGATGCCCTTCAATAGACGAATGGATAAAAAAAATGTGGCATTTATACACAATGGAGTATTACTCTGCATTAAAAAATGACAAAATCATAGAATTTACAGGGAAATGGATAGCATTAGAGCAGATTATGCTAAGTGAAGCTAGCCAATCCCTAAAAAACAAATGCCAAATGTCTTCTTTGATATAAGGAGAGTAACTAAGAACAGAGTAGGGACGAAGAGCAGGAGAAGAAGATTAACATTTAACAGGGATGAGAGGTGGGAGGGAAAGGGAGAGAGAAGGGAAATTGCATGGTAATGGAAGGAGACCCTCAGGGTTATACAGTGGAGTGGGTAGAGAGAGAGGAGGGGAGGGGAGGGGAGAGGTGGGGAGGGGGGAGGGGGGAGGATGGGAAAGGCAGCGGAGCACAACAGACACTAGTATGGCAATTTGTAAATCAATGGATGTGTAACTGATGTGATTCTGCAATCTGTGTATGGGGTGAAGGTGGGAGTTCATAACCCACTTGAATCAAAGTGTGGAATATGATATGTCAAGAAATTTGTAATGTTTTGAACAACCCACAATAAAAAATTTTAAAAAAAAAGAAAATAAGATACACCTACTATACTTCCCTTTCGCAAAAAATAAAAATAAATACAAATTATCATATACCAAGAAATCACCGTCAACCAAAAATGAATAGCACCTATTACTATAATTACAAGGCTGATATAAAGAAAGGCATCATGAGTGAAGGGTTGTCTAGAATGAGGGTTGGAACTGCCAGTATAAAAATGAATGAGTCCCAGGCCAGGTGTGGTGATATGTAACTGTAGGCCAGATGCTTGGGAGTCTAAGATGGGACAATCACTTGAGTCCTAAGTTCAAGACAAGCCAAACTCAGTCCTCAAAAGGCTGTCCAGAAGCCTACTGCTATACAGGTAACAACAGAGAGGAGCAGGAGCACTATCAGCAGTCATATTAGGCAGAGTATGTGATGTAGGAATGAGGTCAGAGGCAGAAGCCAGCACATGAATTTCCTCTGGATTTTATCTCACAGGATGTAGATGATGCAGAGCCCTGTGACTTTGAACCAAACTGATTCTTCTTATAATTTGAAGCCTTTATTACAAGGTATATGGCCAGAGTTTGGGAAAGTCTAGCCATGGGATGGAAGATGACGAGTTAAGTAATTCCCATGGGAACTAAGCCCACCTTAGCCTCAGAACTCAGACAAGTAACAAGTAACCAGCCAAGCAGCCTCATAGACCAGCTAGTTAGTGCACATCACATGGCCAACTGTGTCTGTCTATACTGTAAGTGCTAAGTGCTTTGGGAGACAGTTTGGCTGGATGGCTCAGGACCACTGGCAGGGTAAAGAAAAGGTGCTGGCTTCTACTAATCCTCAGGAAACCCATTTTGTGTGGGCCACAGTCATGGCAGCACCACTGATGATGCATGGTCCCAGTGGAAAGATAGAATCAAATCATGCAATGTGAGTATTCGCCAGTGTTTTAATCAATATTTTATTTTCATAGCATTTATGAACTAAAAATTCAGCTCGTTTATCCCAAGAAATGTACTAACAAGAGAAAGAGGATAAAAATTCGTCATCTACCTTCCTTTGCAGACAGGAAGCATATTTGAGCCCGGGCTGAACACAGAGCTCCAGGCTTGCTCTGGATCCATGTTCAAGGGACCAACTGCTGCTGCTGCAGAGCTGGATGCTCTCTCTGGTGTCCCACCAGACTGCTGGGGCTAGGAAAGAGAAACATATCCCAGTTCTTCTCCTTGGGGCAACAGCAGCTCTTGCCCCTAGATTTTCCCTCATGGTGCACAATTCCTCCCTGCCTGGGCTTAGACCTGCCTCATACAGCATGCCCAGACAGAGGGATGAGAGGCTGGCTTCAGTCCCCATTGAGAAAGAGATCCTGGGGAGGTGAGTCCAGGTTTAGAGCACTCTGTTCACAGCATCTCACCTACCAGGAGTCTCCATGTGTGTGGGTGAGCTTTCTGTCCCTATATCAAACACTCATGGTAATCAACCTAGAAAGAGAAAAGGGTTATGTTGGCTCACAGCCCTCTAGAAGTTTCAGCCTATGATTGGTTAGCCCCATTCCTTTTGGGCCTGGAGAAGGTAGCACATCATGGTGGGAGTGTATTATGAATCAAATTGTTCTCCTCATGTCCATATACAAAAGAAAAAGGAAGGGGCTCAGGCCCCACAATTCCCTTCAAGGGCACATCCTCAGTGATCTAAGACTTCCCACTAGTCCCACCTCTTAAAGGTCCCACCATCTCCCATTAGCACCAAGCTGGGGACCAAGCCTTAAACACATGGGTCTTTGAGAGGCATTTAAGATCCAGAATGTAACAGTACTGTGAGGAGGTGAATCCCAAAGCTTTTCCATAGTCTTGAGTTGACAAAGATGCAGCTTTACTCCGCAGATACCAGATAATGCTCTTGGTGCATTACTTTTTCATAATAGATGAAAGTTCTAGAAGCATATTCTGAAAGAGATAAGAAACCAAAAACAAATAAAATATATCCAAAAGGCTTGTAAAAATCTTCCCTGCCCACCCACCTGGACCTCTGTCATAAATGCCAGGGACCCAAACAAAACATATTGCAGAAGATAACTCCCAGATGCTTGGGAGTCTAAGATGGGATAATCACTTGAGCCCTAAGTTCAAGACAAGCCAAACTCAGTCCTCAAAAGTCAGGCACAGGGTGGTAAAAAAAAAAAAAAAAATCAAGCTTGAAGCTGAGCACAGTGGTACATGCCTGTAGTCCCAGCAGTTCGGGAGGCAGGAGGATCATGAGTTCAAAGCCAGCCTCAGCAAAAGTGAGGTGCTAAGCAACTCAGTGAGACCTTGTCTCTAAGTAAAATACAAAATAGGGCTGGGGATGGGGCTCAATGGTGAAGTACCTCTGAGTTCGATCCCTGATAACCCCCCCGCCCAATTCAAGCCTGGCCCCAGCCCACTCTCTGGCTTTCTGTCTCAGCATGTAATCTCTTGCTCCTCACATGCTTACACCATTCTGGTGCCATCTGCTATGAGATCTTCACCAAAGCCAGTCTGATACTGGTGCCATATCCTTGAACATCCAAAACTGTGAGCTTAAATACCTTTTTATAAAAGGTCTAGCCTCAGGTATCTCATTATAGTAACAGTAAATTGACAAATACAATGGTATTAGGCAGAAGGGAGAAGTGTTATTGTTTTTTCAGGAACAATTCTTCTCAGTGCACTCATCTCCTTAATGTCCCAAAAGAATGGAAGAGTTCACAGGGCAACTTCTTCATGCCAAAATCTCCTTCTCCTTAAAGTCATGGCTCTGAATTCCTGCAAAATGGAGTCACCTGGGTGCTTTATAAAATATTAGTGGCCCAGCAGTGGGAATACTCAATGATAGAGTATGTGCTTAGCATGTTCAAGGCCTGGGTTGGATTCCCAGTCAGGAAGGAAGGAAAGAAGGAAGGAAGGGAAGAAGGAAGGAAGGGAAGAAGGAAGGAAGGAAGGAAGGAAGGAAGGAAGGAAGGAAGGAAGGAAGGAAGGAAGGAAGGAAGGAAGGAAGGAAGGAAGAAGGTGGTACTGGTGCCCAGTTCCAATCTCCAGAGATTCTTACTGAGAGGCGTCTTTGAAAGACCCTGTAGTGGTGGGAATTACTTCTCCCACAGCATTCCTCACAGGTGAAGACACCAAGTAATGGGGGAAATCAGTCCAGAGGGCAGCATGAGTTCCTAAAACCCAATAAGACTTCTTCCCCATGTTCACTCAGCCAGACTGAAAGGCTGCTCTCTATGCTTAATTAAGTCCATCCTCAAAGAGTTGACTCTGATAGAAAGTTGTTCAGCAGCCAAAGGGTCTGAATTTGAGGATTTTGTTGATTGCAAGGTAAATGTCTGCAAATAGGAAATAATAGTTCTATCAGATAGCTTTTCTGACTTTATAAAACATGATGAATTTCTTTGATAGTACAATTCCCTGTAACTGGAAGGGGATATGTCAAAAGTGACAGAGCAATTGTGGTCCTACTAGGAATCATTCTTTCTGAAAAGTTAATTGCTACAATCAGAATGTATCTGATTGATTCCTAGAAATTATGCTATCTGGGACCTAATATACACAGCAGAAAAAGCAGTTTAGCCAGGTACAGTGGTGCACACCTATAATCCTAGTGATTCAGGAGGCTGAGGGAGGAAGATTTCAAGTTCAAGGTCAGCCTTGGCAAGTTAGCAAGACCCTGTACTAAAATTTTCAAAAATTAAAAGGGCTATATATGTAGCTCAGTGGTAGAGCACCCCTGGATTTAATCCCCCAGTACCACACACACAACAAAAAGTTTAAGTCCCATATATTAAAAGTGAATGATCATAATTCTCTATATGCTATATGAGGTTTTTTTGTTTGTTAGTTAGTTTTCTTTTGTTTTTGGAGTACTGGAGCTTGAACCCAGGGCCTCACATGTACTAGGCAAGTGCTCTACTACTGAACCACATTCCAGCCCTATCTTTCTAATGAAAGATCCTTCTGTCTGCAGAAAATATCATACGGCAGCCACAGTTCTCTGAAGTTGATATCCGTGGCCTCAAGGCCTAACTCTTCCTACCATTTTTTGATTGATATAGCTTGTCAACACCATAAGAGGTTTGGGAAAAGGTGATTTATTATTAAGAAAGCTCTATGTCCAAAGGCATTACTTACAATTCCTAGAAATATAAAAAACAGAGAAGAAAGAGAAAAAAATGAAATAAGAAAGAGGGTTCTGTTCTGGCATGTAAGAAGCTTAGAAATAACCACTTTGTCTAAATTATGAGTAAAAAGCTAATAAACTTGAAAAATCCAAAATTCCTTTTATGAGTGAGAGAAGAGAGGCCACAAGGAAAACCACAGCCCCCATAATTAGAGAGACAGACAGGCAATTCAGAAAAATTGCGACTTCCCAAAACATAAATCCATGAACATCCCTTGCAGGAACCAGAGCCAGGGTAGAGAAACCTAAACTGTACCTGACAAATTCCTAGAGCCTGAGAATGGACAGATCTGAGAATTAAAAGCTTCAGGGAAACTCAGTCATGTGGGGACTCCCATGCTGTCATGAGTTTTATCTCCTGAAGCTCTCAACAGATCCTCAAAGTGACTACCAGAGAAAAATCCCTTCCCACTTCTTGCATAGGAAGAGGAAAAGTAATCCTTTTTGTGGTACTGGGTGTTTTACCCCTGAGCTACATCCACAGCACTGCCCCACCCCACTTTTTACTTTGAGACAGGAGCCCACTAAGTTACTTGCTAAATTGCTGAGCCTGACCAGGATCTTGCAATCCTCTTGCCTCAGCCTCCTGAGATGCTGGGATTACAGGTGTCTTCCACCACACCCAGCAAAAGTAGTTGTTTAAGGAACTTTGTTCTTATTAACAAGGCCTGCCATCAGGAGTTAGGACTCAGAGTCTTAACTTCCCAGGGCTTTCTCAGAGCCTAATCTACCTAGGAGAAAGGAAATGCCCAATTCCTGCTCCTTCTAGCCATCCTATCACACTCAAGGGCAGGAAAAATAAATACCAAAAAACACTGGTGAAGTTCACCATCCAGTGGCACAAGCTCACCAAAAGACTAAGGCCTCATCATGGAATTATAGAATGTTTTCCCTACCCCACATCTTACATCACACCACTAAACATCTGTATACTAGCTTCCTGTCACCCATACATAATGTCTAGATTTTAAACAAAAAGAAAAAATTACAAGACATACTAAAAGACAAAAAAAACATAGTTTGAAGAGACTAAACAAGTGTTAGAACAATTGTTAGATTTGACAGGAATGTTGAAATTCTCAAATCAGAATTTTAAAATAAGTATAACTAACATGCTAAAGGCTCTAGTGGAAAAAGTAGATAGCATGCAAGAACAGACAGGTAATGTAAACAGGGAAATGGAAATTCTAAGAATCAAAAAGAAATGCTAGAGATCTAAAACACTGTAACAGAAATAAAGGATGGCTTATTAGTAGAATGGACATGGTTGAGGAAAAAATCTCTGAGCTTGAGGATGTGAAAATAGAAACTTCCAAAACTAATACACAAAAAAGAGGAGAAACAAGGAACAAAGTATTCAGGCACTGTGGGATAAATACAAGGGACATAATGCAAATATAAGCCAGAACAAGAAGAAGGAAATTTAAGAAAGAGAAGCCATTTTAGAAGCAATAATGACTGATAATTTCTTCATTTTAATATTAGACACTAAACCATATATCAGTAAACTCAGAAAACACTCAACAAGATAAATGCCAAAAATTTATACCCACATATATTATATCCAAACTTCAGAAAATTGAAGATAAAGAAAAAATCTTGTAAGAAGCCAGATTGAAAAAAAAACCCAACTCTCCATAGAAGAGCAAAGATAAGAATTATATCTTACTACTTATCAGAAACCAGGCATGTAAGAATAGAGTGAAACATTTAAGACATTAAGCGGAAAATACCACCAAGCTAGAATTCCTTATCCTTTGAAACTACAAAAATGAAGAAGAAATACTTTCTCAAACAAACAAAAGTTGATGAAATTTCTTGTTAATAGACTAACCTTGGGCTGGGGATGTGGCTCAAGCGGTAGCACACTCGCCTGGCATGCGCGGGGCGCTGGGTTCAATCCTCAGCACCACATAAAAATAAAATAAAGATGTTATGTGCACCAAAAACTAAAAAATAAATATTAAAAAAATAGACTAACCTTGCAAGAAATGTTAAAAGAGATTCTCACAATGGCCTTGGTGACACACACCTATAGTTCCAGCTACTCAGGATAATGAAGTGGGAGGATCACTCAAGCCCATGAGTTTGAGACCAGCTTGTGCAAAATAGAAAGACCACCTTCTCAATAATACAAATGAGGGCTGGGGTTGTGGCTCAGTGGTAGAGCACTTGCCTAGCACTTGTGAGGCACTGGGTTCAATCCTCAGAACCATATAAAAATAAATAAATAAATAAATAAATAAAGGTATTATTGTGTCCGTCTACAACTAAAAATATTTTTTTAAATACAAAAGAAAGTTATTCAGTGAGAAGGAAAATGATATAGGTCCAAAATCCAGATCTATGTAAAAAGAAAGCACTGAATAAGGAATAATTGAAGGTAAAATGAAAATATTTTTTAGTTTTTTCAGTTCTGGGTATTGGACCCAGGACCTTGTGCATATTAGACAAGCACTTTACCACTAAACCACATCCCAATTCAGTCTTTCTTATTCTTAATTTATGTAAACAGATAACAATTTGTTCAGAATAATAATAGCAACATATTCAATTATTTGTACTGATGTGTATGTGCTCCTATATGTATGAAATGAATGACAACAATGATCCAAGGGAGTGGAAGGATGCATTAAGAAAATATTATTATTAAGAGTTACTTGCATTACAATGAAGTGGCATGGTGTTATCTGAAGGCAAAAATTTTAAACTGTAAATATATATTGCAAACTCTAGGACAATCATTTTTAAA